GGCTGCCTGAAGCTTTTGAAAATGGGGTGACCTGCTGAGTCCTGAGACCTAGTGTGAAGGCACCTCACCAGTGAGGGGAGGCAGGCTGTTTGGGTCTGGAATAGCAGGTGTGCAGGAACTGGCAGATAAAGGCTGCAAGGAGCCTCTGGAGCCACACAGGCTGGACCCCATCCTTGGTCTATCTTCTCATACTGTGCCAAGACTCAAAAGTCTGAGATTTTGAAAATGGCCAGGAGTCTTGGGCAGATTTGAGGCCAAATAAGATACCGTGATCAGATCCTCAGAAGACTGCCGGCACGGTGGTGTCTGCCTGTAGTCCCAGCTACTCAGGAGGCTGAGGCAGGAGGATCTCTTGAGCCCTGGAGTTCTGGGCTGTAGTGCGCTATGCCATTTGGGTGTCCGCACTAAGTTTGGCATCAACATGGTGACCTCCCGGTAGCGGGGGACCACCAGGTTACCTAAGGAGGGGTGAACTGGCCCAGGTCAGAAATGGAGCAGGTCAAAACTCCCGTGCTGATCAGTAGTGGGATCGCGCCTGTGAATAGCCACTGCACTCCAGCCTGAGCAACATAGGGAGACTCCGTCTCTTAAAAAAAAAAAAAAAAAAAAAAAAAACTAAAGAGAACAGATTCTCAGAAGAGTAACCCCCATGGGTGGCTGTGACCGCTGAGTTAAAGAGTCGAGCCCAGTGGCAGAGGGCCTGATACAGGACGGTGCCTCAGGCGGTCCTCAGAGGAGAAGAGGCCCAGAGACCTCACAGACCTCAGACTGCAGAGAACCGTTGTCTTGACTCAGAGGCGTTGTGCGAAGGGTCCTGAGTCATCAAAGATGATAGTGATGTTGCATCGTTTAATGTGTATTTGCTAATATTCCGCTTCTTTCCCTGTGTGTGCACAGCTATGTGGGTGGCCTACATGTACAAAATGTTTCAGTCTCCAAGACTGTACCAGACAGTGGGACTTATTACACCTGACACTGGGCGATGGCACTGTGCCAGCGTGAGATGGGAGTTAGGAACGCCTTCCTGCAGTGAGGTTTGGGTTGAGGTCCCAGTGGCTAGAGGAGCCTGCCCTGTGGTTAGGAGGGGCCTTGCAGGCAGAGGGGCACCTGCAGCCCATCCCAGGCTCTGAGGGCATGTGGCAGCAGCAGGCGGGAGCCTGGGGTCCAGGTGTCCTCATTGGAATGGGAAGCCTGGTTCAGCATTTTTGAAAATATTCCTTTGGCAGCCAAAAAACTGGGAATGAACAGCAGAGAGGCCAGTTCAGGTCTCTTGCAGTAAGACATGGTGTTGGCCAAGGTATGGGCATGAGGATGGGAAACAGTGAGAAATCAAGGCTTGCTCCATGGGCTGAACGATGGGGCTACTGTAGGAACTGAGGGAGACGAGGAACAGATGTGTGGGGGAACGCTGAGATGGTCGGCAGGGACCCTGTTAGCTCTGGCGATGGGTGGGCACACAGCAGCTTGGAGGAGCCAGGCCGAGGTGGCGTGATGGGCCTAGGGTTCTCAGCAGGACTGGGCAGGGTCAGGGAGGGCACCTTCATCACAGGAGGTGTGTGGAATGGAGTGAGGCTGTCTTTGCTCTGGAGCCGCATCGGAGAAGCGCTGTCTCAGGACGGGAGCCCTGGTGCCCCCAGTGGGTGTGTCCTGCTGACCAGCCCTTTCTGGAGGGGCGCACGTGTCTTGCAGCCCCTTACCCACCTCCTTGTGCCTCATCACGGCTGGTGCTCAGCCTGGCTCTGCCCTTGTGCTCACTCACCCTGGGAGTTGGGACTTTGCACAACCATTGCTGTGCCCTGACAGGGGCTTCTTTCTGCTCTGGCAGCAGCACCTGGGCCATGTCCCACCAGGCCGCAAGTTTGTTCCTGCCCCCCAACTGGATGTGGCTCTTTGAGGCCATGCAGTGCCCCTGTGTGGACACCAGAGAAGGGTTCTGGGGGATTTTTGTGTCCAAATGGAGCTCATATGTGGACCCCTAAAGGGTTGGGGGCAGCCAGGAGCATCCAGAAGAAACTCTCTTTTTCAGTAGACCATTCACTGCAGCGTGGAACTCCTGAGTTCAAGTGATCCTCCCACCTCAGCCTCCCAAAGTGTTGGGATTACAGGCGAGAGCTGCAGCTACTGTGCCCAGCCTGTTGCTTTTTGTGATCTTTTTTTTTTTTTTTTTTAAAGACGGGGTTTCACCATGTTGGTCAGGCTGGTCTTGAACTCCCGACCTCAAGTGATCCGCCCGCCTTGGCCTCCAAAGTGCTTGGATTATAGGCATGAGCCACTATGCCCGGCCTTGTGATCTTTGTTTTTAAATTTTACTTTTCCTAGCACTTTATTTTTATGGTTTTACCAAAATATTAGTCCATGATGAACAAAATAAAAGAACAAAGGAATCTACTTTTGAATGGTATGTTAGACCATTCTTACATTGTTAGAAAGAAATACCTGATGCTGGGTCATTTAAAAAGAAAGGAGATTTAGGCCGGCCGAGGTGGCTCACCCCTGTAATCCCAGCACTTGGGGAGGCTGAGGCGGGCGGATCACAAGGTCAGGAGTTCAATCAGCCTGACTAACATGGTGAAACCCCGTCTATACTAAAAATACAAAAATTAGCTGGGCATGGTGGCACGTGCCTGTAATCCCAGATACTCAGGAGGCTGAGGCAGGAGAATTGCTTGAACCCGGCAGGCAGAGGTTGCGGTGAACTGAGATCACTCCATTGCCCTCAAGCCTGGGCAACAAGAGTGAAATTCTATCTCAAAATAAGTAAATATACAGTGTGAAAAAAAAGAGTAGTATTTAATTATGATTTTAAAAATACATAAATAAAGGAGTTTTAATTGGCTCACAGTTCTACTGGCTGTACAGGAAGCATAGCAGTGGTACCAGCTTCTTCGGAGGCCTCAGGAAACTTTTACTCCTGGAAGGTGAAGGGGGAGCAGGCACAAAGCAAGAGAGGGCGTGTGAGTGGCGGAGAGGCACCACCCACTTTTAAATGACCAGATTTCACCGGAACTCACCGTCACCAAGACAGCACCCAGCCATGAGGGGTCTGCCCCCAACATCCAAACACCTCTACCAGGCCCCACCTCCAGTGGTGGGGAGTACAGTTCTACACAAGATTTCGGCAGGGATAAATATCCTAACTGTATCAGGTGTTGAATCTTCCAGGAGTAGGGCGTTGGGTAGGAAGTTGGTTCTGAGGGACTGATGTGGGTTTCAGTCCTCATGTAGTCACTTAGCAGCCTTAGTTTTCTCAGCTGTGAAATGGACAGAGTGCTGCATTAAATCTATTTTATAGAACCTAGCTCTTGTAGCTGGGCAAACCATGTTTCCCATCTTTCCTTCCTCTATTTCCTCTGGATTTCTTTTTTTTTTTTTTTTTGAGACGGGGTTTCACTTGTTACCCAGGCTGGAGTGCAATGGCGCGATCTCGGCTCACCACAACCTCCGCCTCCTGGGTTCAGGCAATTCTCCTGCCTCAGCCTCCTGAGTAGCTGGGATTACAGGCATATGCCACCATGCCCAGCTAATGTTTTGCATTTTTAGTAGAGACGGGGTTTCACCGTGTTGACCAGGATGGTCTCGATCTCTTGACCTTGTGATCCACCCGCCTCGGCCTCCCAAAGTGCTGGGATTACAGGCTTGAGCCACCGTGCCCAGCCTTTTTTTTTTTTTTTTTTTTTTTTTTTTTTTTCTCCTGAGACGGAGTCTTGCTCTGTTGCCAGGCTGGAGTGCAGTGGCACAGTCTCAGCCCACTGTAACCTCTGCCTCCCGGGTTCAAGTGATCCTTCCGCCTCAGCCTCCTGAGTAGCTGGGACTACAGGCACGTGCCACCACGCCCAGCTAATTTTTGTATTTTTAGTAGAGACGGGGTTTCACCATGTTGGTCAGGATGGTGTCGATCTCTTGACCTCATGATCTGCCTGCCTCGGCCTCCCAAAGTGCTGGGATTACAGGTGTGAGCCACCGTGCCTGGTCTGGATTTCTTTTTTTAAAAAATTGTTGCAGCAAACCGCATTGCCATGTATGTACCTATGCAACAGTCCTGCATGATCTGCACATGTACCCCAGAACCTAAAATGCAATAAAATATATATTTAAAAAATTTTTTTAAATTTTTGGAAACAGAGCTTCACTGTTGCCCTGGCTGGAGTGCAGTAGCACAATCTTGGCTCACTGTAACCTCTGCCTTCTGGATTCAAGTGATCCTCCTGGCTCAGCCTCCCGAGTAGCTGGGACTACAGGCACCCACCACCATGCCCTGTTAATTTTTATATTTTTAGTAGAGATGGGGTTACACCATGTTGGCCAGGCTGGTCTTGAACTCCTGACCTCAGGTGATCTACTTTCTAGGCTGGAGTGCAGTGGCATGATCTCAGCTCACTGCAACCTCCTGGGTTCAAGCAATTCTGCCTTAACCTCCCAAGTAGCTGGGATTACAGGTGCATACCATCACACCTGGCTAATTTTTTTGCTGTTGTTGTTTTGTTTTGTTTTTTGAGATGCAGTATCACTCTGTCATCCAGGCTGGAGTGAGGTGGTGCGATCTCGGCTCACTGCAACCTCCACCTCCCGGGTTCAAGCGATTCTCATGCCTCAGCCTCTCGAGTAGCTGGGACTACAGGCACGTGCCACCACATCCGGCTAATTTTTTTGTATTTTTATTAGAGACAGGTTTCACCATGTTAGCCAGGATGGTTTCAATCTCCTGACCTTGTGATCTGCCTGCCTCGGCCTCCCAAAGTGCTGGGATTGCAGACGTGAGACACCGCAAGCCTTATTTTTGTATTTTTAGTAGAGACAAGTTTTTGCCATGTGCTAGGCTGGTCTTGAACTCTTGACCTCAGGTGCTCTGCCCACCTTGGCCTCCAAAAATGCTGGGATTACAGGTGTGAGCTGCCATGTCCAGCCATGGTGACCGTTGATAGGGAATGGGAGGTGGCTATTGTAGAAGGAAAGTTAGGGCCCCTAACCGTTTACCCGTACCTGCCTTTTCTTTATTGCAGTGACCACCATGCTACCGCTGGGCTCGGCGCCGGCCCTGAACAAGCTACTGCTTCAAAAGGAGGAGGAATGGAGGGCGCTGCAGGCCCGCCACACCCGGCTGCAGGAGGCAGCTCTGCAGGACACACAGGGCCAGCTGCAGGAGGCTCAGGGCAAACTGCGGTGCCTGCAGGAGGACTTCGTCTACAATCTGCAGGTGCTGGAGGAGCGGGACCTTGAGCTGGAGCGCTATGACGCCGCCTTCGCCCAGGCCAGGGAGTGGGAGGAGGCCCGGCGGGCGGAGGTGAGCGAGCTCAAGATAGAGGCGGCTAAGCTGAGGCAGGCGCTGGCCAGAGAGGCCAGGAAGGTGGAGGAGCTGCAGCAGCAGCAGCAGCTGGCCTGGCAGGAGCATCGCCTGGAGCTGGAGCGCGTCCACAGGTGAGCCGTGACAGACGCGCCTCCCGTGCAGCGCCTGGGGGAGGCCCCCGCGGGCCTCCGGCTCCTCGGAGCTGCCCCTCCTCCCGCTGCTGATTCCAGGACGCCGGAGCTGGTCCGAGTGGCCTCTGAACACCTGTTTGTTGAGTGAATGTGAATCCCATGGATCCAGGAATGCCCTGGCTGTCTTTTTCAGCGTTCTGGTACAACTCTGAAATTAATGGAGGTTGTTTTAAATAATTGGGATTTATTTCATTAATTACACATTTATATTATCTTAATAACATATATTTGAATTTATAATGATTTTAATATGAAGTCTGTAGTAATTTCAAAACTCAATGAGCTGACTTAAGGCAAGTCAGCATAAAACCTAAAGTCTTTGTTGTGGAGCCTGTGGTGGGGCCCCGGGAACTCACCCACATGCCTGGTATCCCCTCAGCTCCACTCACCCAGCCATGCTGTGGAGAGTTTGAGGAGACGGGAAGGAAGGGAGCGTTCTCTGACAGGCGCTTCCACCCCCCACTTTGGGAGCACATTAGCTGTTAGATGCCCTTCCCCGTGTGATGCGTGTGCACGGACCTCAGGAGGAGAGCCGGCTGCGTGCTCTGTTAGCACTTCACAGGATCCTGGATATTTTTTCATGTGTTATATATTCTTCTAACATAAGCAGCATTTTTTGTTTTTTGAGATGGAATCTCGCCATGTCACCCAAGCTGGAGTGCAGTGGCACGATCTGGGCTCACTGCAACCTCCATCTCCCGGGTTCAAGTGATTCTCCCGCCTCAGCCTCTGGAGTACCTGGGACTACGGGTGCCTGCTGCCATGGCCGGCTAATTTTCTTTTTTTTTTTTTTTTTTGAAACAGAGCCTCACTTTGTCACCCAGGCTGGAGTGCAGTGGCACGATCTTGGTTCAGTGCAATCTCTGCCTCCCAGGTTGAAGCAATTCTCTTGCCTCAGCCTCCCACGTAGCTGGGTTAACTGGCACCTACTACCACGCCAGGTTAATTTTTGTCATTTTATTAGAGACAGGGTTTCACCGTCTTGGCCAGGCTGGTCTTGAACTCCTCACCTTGTGATCCACCCACCTCAGCCTCCCTAAGTGCTGGGATTACAGGCGTGAGCCACCACACACGGCCTTTTTTCCTCCCTTTTTGTATTTTTACTAGAGACAGAGTTTTGCCATGTTGCCCAAGCTGGTCTTGAACTCTTGACCTCAGGTGATCTACTGGCCTCAGCCTTGCCTAGTGCTGGGATTACAGGAGTGAGCCACCATGTCTGGCCATAAGCAGCTTTTTAAAGCACTTTTTAAAGTCACAGGAGTAAACTCTTCTTATCATAGAAGGTCATTTCTTACAGAAGATGATGCAGTGGAATGTCTAAGTGAAAGCCACTATGGGCAGTCTGTTGTGTCATCCCCAGGACCCAAATAGAGCCTCCCGCGCACACTGCTTCGAAATGTGTGTACCTTTGGTAAATATTTGGTATAGCTTTTCTTCATGCTGTTTTATTACCATAGTGACAAGAATGGTGAGATTGACCACCACCGGGAACAGTATGAAAACCTCAAATGGAGGCTGGAGAGAAAACTTGAGGAGCTGGACAGTGAGCTTGCTCTGCAGAGACAGGTACAGCCTCTGGGGGTCGGCCCTTCCTGGTGCTTTCCCCACCTGCCCGCTGTGAGCTGAAATCATGCAGAGCTGAGGAAAAGACAACCATTGGGTTCATTGCCTGCATTCTCCTTGGGAGTGAAGTTGGGGTCACTGGGGCAGATGCCACTCTGGGATGGGCTGCAGGGAAACAGGATGGGATGTCTACATTACAGCCACTCCCAGTGTTACCCTTCCTCACGGATCAGTCAGGGTTCTCCAGGGAAACAAGCAATAGAAGATGTATAGATGTGTAGGAGGTAAATTGTAGGAACTCACTCATGCAGTTATGACGGCCATAAGGTCCCACAGTTTGCCCTCTGCAAACTGAAGAACTGGGAAGCTGGTGGGTAATTCAGTCCAGGTTCAAAGCCCTGAGCGTGAGTGAGCCACTGAGGTGAGTCCTGGTCCAGTTCTGAAGGCCCAAGATGCAGGAGCCCGACGCCCGAGGGCAGGAGAAGGTGAATGTCTTAGCTCAAGCAGAGCGGGCGGATTCACCCTTCCTTGCATTTCGTTCCATTCAGGCCCTCAGTGGATTGAAGGATCATGTTTACTTCGTGTAGGAATTCAAACACTGATCTCTTCGGGAAGTACCCTGGCAGGCACTCCCTAAGATGATATTCTGCCAGCTCTCCGGGCTGCCTGCAGCCCAGTTGTTTGCCACATGACATTAACCAGCATACCTCAGAAATGATGAAAGTTTAAAATTTATTTTTAGAAAACGTATAATTTTTTAAACATGAGGTATTTACTGTAGAAAAGAATTTGGAATTCCAATTATGATAAGTTTGAAAACAGATGCTTCAACTGACAATTGGCAGTCACCAAATTTCCCCTTGGGGGTTCTTGAAACTAAACCTACACCTCCAAGAGACTCAGCTGTGCTGGGGTTTTGTGGAAGGACATCCAATAGATTTATATCCAGAGCCCACATTCAGAGATGCTGCCACTGTGTGCACATGTGCCAAGGGGTTGTGTCACTGCGTGTACAGGTGTGTTGAGGGGTTGTGTCTGTGCAGGTGCAGGTATGACATGGGGCTGCGTGTCGGTGGGTGCAGGAGTCACGGGGGGCTGTGTCTGTGCAGGTGCAGGAGTCATGGGGGCTGCCTCTGTGCAGGTGCGGCAGTGATGAAGGGCTTTGTGCAGGTGTGACAGGGTTTCCTCTCTCTTGTCCTGTCGGATGTTGGGAGTTTGGTTGTGTTGAGAATTTGCCACAGTCAGGTCAGCAGAGAAGGAGGCCACGCTCATGTCGTGATGGTCTCTTGTGTGAACTTGCTGTCCAGTTGTGCCTGGAAGCAACTCCCCTTGTTCACAGGTCCCTGAGGCTGCTTCTGAAACGGCCTGGAGAGGACTTTCTCTTGGAATTCTCAGGGACCAAAGAGCTTTGTCGATTATGGGTGGACTTGACTTTCAGAACAGCCAGAGTTCTTTAGGCATGAAGCCAGCATCTAAAATCTGTGGTCAAGAAGAGACCAGTGATGACTCTTGTAAGTAATGAGGCTTTCTCAAGTGGCTCCAGGTCACTTTCAAAGAAGGAGTTTGAGGAGGATCCAGCTGTGGGTGGTCCTGCCTAGCAGGTGGGCAGCTCTCAGCAGCGTTTGGGGACAGTGGCGATTTGAGGCTGTTGTAGTTGGTGGGACACAGCCATTCTTGTCAGGGTTTCTGGCTGGGCCATGACTCTGGCTGACTTCTCAGGCTGTCCACGCCGAGCTTCTCACACTCAGCAGGGCTTGTTCAGGGAGAGCCCTCTCAGATGTGGGGAACACGGATTTTTTTATCATGTTCAGATAGTAGCCTTGTCTCTGGAAGGAAGGAAACACGCTGTTTTAATGTAGCGGCCTTGGTTACTGTGGGCAGTTTTGGCGGCACATACCTAGTGTGGCTTTGGGCAGTCTGGTCCTGTGTGGGCTCTGGGATGCTGCCACTGGCTGTCGGGAAGCTCTGTTCTGCTGCCCGCATCTCAGCCTTTTAGTTACTAAGCTGGGGTCTTAGATGCTTGTCAGTTTCATGGTTTCCTTTGGTCTGATTTCTTGTCTCTTGTTTAGAAAGATGTTGGTGTTTATTATTGTTAGAGGTAGAGTTGACTCAATAGAGATGAGGATTTCTTTTTCCTCTCCTTTTTTTTTTTTTTTTTTTTTTTTTGTAGAGACAGGGTCTCACTGTGTTGCCCAGGCTGGTCTTGAACTCCTGGGCTCAAGCAATCCTCCCGCCTCAGCCTCTCAGAGTGCTGTTATTGATGTCACTGACCCCAGCTTCTCTCCTTGACAGTGTGTATGGTCCTTCTCTGTTGACCACTGTGTCCTGCTCTCCTCTGGATCCCACCTCCTAGGACATGGGTGGGAGGGTCTTTGCTGGGTTCCCACTGTTCTTTCACCATGAAACCTCTTTGTTCCAGGAACTGCTGCTGGAGTTTGAATCGAAAATGCAGAAGAGGGAGCACGAATTCCGTCTGCAGGCCGACAACATGAGCAACACAGCCTTGTCCCAGGAGCTCAAGGTAACTGGGGTCACCCTTGGGTCTTGAATTTTTTTGGTTTTTCCTTGGCCAGCTGTGGTGGCCACACCTGTCATCCTAGCACTTTGGGAGGCCAAGGCAGGAGGATCCCTTGGGCCCAGGAGTTCGAGACCAGCGAGCAGGTGGGCCATGTTGATACCCTGTGCCCCGTGGCAGGGTGGGCACTCCCATCAAAGGTGGACACTGGGTGCCAGTTCACTTCAGCCTCCAACTGCTGTGTGAGTTGGTCACAGCCCTGGACACCTGCCCGTGGTGGGCATCACAATATGCACATCAGTAGGAAAAGCAAGAGCTGAGTCTCAGTGTCTGCTCGTGCAGGGCACGGCCCGGTCCTCACACCAGTGGACTTGGGCGCAGCAGCCATCCCCACTGCCCGCGGCTGATACGCTGGGAGACAGGCCCGGGGAGGTGCTGAAGAGCTCAGGGTGCAGCTGGGACTCCAGTGGCTGGCGTTTAATTTTCTTATTTAAATAACATGCAAATTATGTGCTAGGAAACAAAAGTACAGTTAAATTGGTCTATTGGGCTTGGACGTGTATGGGCACCCCAATGGGACTGATTTCGGTGGGGTGCTCGGTGCCGTCAGAGAGTCATTGAAGGCCAGGCGTCATGGCTCATGCCTGTAATCCCAACACATTGGGAAGCTGAGGCGTGTGGATCACCTGAGGTCAGGAATTCAAGACCAACATGGGGAAACCCCCATCTCTACTGAAAATACAAAAATTATATAGGGGTGGTGGTAGGTACCTTTAATCCCAGCTACTCAAGATGCTGAGGCAGGAGAATCACTTGACCTGGGAGGCGGAGGTTGCATTGAGCCGAGATTGTGCCACTGCTCTCCAGCCTGGGTGACAGAGCAAGACTGTCTCCAAAAAAAAATGGTCATTGAGTCTCATTGAGTTGTTTTAGTAGATACTCACCATTTTACTGCTGCCTGAATTTTTATTTTTATTCTCTCTCTCAATCCTGATAAAATGGCAGTAGGTACCCCTAATGCCCTGGTGTCTTCTAATTATTGCCACATTTTGAACTGTTTTTTATCCTTCAAAGGTTAAACTACTGCACAAAGAGCTGGAGGCTCTGAAGGAAGCCGGGGCGAAGGCTGCGGAGAGTCTGCAGAGGGCAGAGACCACCAACGCTGAGCTGGAGAGGAAGCTCCAGAGCCGCGCCCAGGAGCTCCAGGACCTCGAGGCTGTGAGTGGCGCCCGGTGCGTGAGTCCTTCCTCTCCTCCCGAGATGCGCTCTGCGGCAGCGTCTCAGGCCTGGACCGGAGTCTGGGAGGTTCTGCCTTTTCTGCTCATTCCAGGCTGGTCTTTGCTTTCGTCTCATCTGCTTCTTCCACCAATATTTGTCTCCTTTCAGGGTAAAGGACTTAGAGGACAGACTTCACTCTGTGCAGCTAACCAAGAAGAAGGAAGAGGAAACATTTGAGAGGAAGTGAGTGGTTCACCTCCCAACATCATGCAGCGTGTCAGTGGCCCCAGGAGAGGAGAAGTGGAGCCACTGTGCTGATGGTCCAGGGAGCGAAGGGTCCCACTCAGGTTCAGGCCTGGGAACCACTGTCCTGATGGTCCAGGGAGCGAAGGGTCCCACTCTGGGGTTCAGGCCTGGGAACCACTGTCCTGATGGTCCAGGGACTGAAGGGTCCCACTCTGGGGGTCAGGCCTGGGAACCACTGTGCTGATGACCCAGGGAGCGAAGGGTCCCACTCTGGGGTTCAGGCCTGGGAACCACTGTCCTGATGGTCCAGGGAGCGAAGGGTCCCACTCTGGGGTTCAGGCCTGGGAACCACTGTCCTGATGGTCCAGGGAGCGAAGGGTCCCACTCTGGGGTTCAGGCCTGGGAACCACTGTCCTGATGGTCCAGGGACTGAAGGGTCCCACTCTGGGGGTCGGGCCTGGGAACTACTGTCCTGATGACCCAGGGAGCAAAGGGTCCCACTCTGGGTGCCAGGCCTGGGAACCACTGTCCTGATGGTCCAGGGAGCAAAGGGTCCCACTCTGGGGGCCAGGCCTGGGAACCACTATGCTCATGGTCCAGGGAGCAAAGGGTTCCACTCTGGGGGTTGCGCCTGGGAACCTGCCACTTCGGATTTCTTTCTTTTTTTTCTTTTCTTTTTTGAGACAGGGTCTTGCTCTGTATCCAGGCTGGAGTGCAGTGGTGTGATCTTGGCTCATTGCAGCCTCCCCTCCCGGGTTCAAACAATCCTCGTGTCTCAGCCTCCTAAGTACCTGGGACTACTGGTTAGTACCACGATTCCTGGCTAATTTTTGTATTTTTAGTCAAGTCGGTGGTCTCACCATGTTGGCCAGGTTGGGCTTGAACTCTTAGCCTCAAATGATCTACCCACCTCCTTGGCTTCCCAAAGTGCTGTGATTACAGGCATGAGCCACCACACCCACCACCCCCAGCCTTGGTTTGGATTTCTGTTTATGCTCTGCTCTGGACTTGCGGACTTTTTCAGTGATGTTGAGACTTTTTTGTGCTGTAAAACTTAAAGCTTGGACTGGGTGCAGTGGCAAGATACCTGAGTCCGGGAGATTAAGGCTGTAGTAAGCCATGATTGTGCCACTGTACTCTAGCCTGGGCCATAGAGTGAGACCCTATTTCGAAAACAAAACAAATCAAAAAGCAAACTTAAAATCTTTAACACCTGGCTGGGCATGGTGGCCCAGGCCTGTAATCCCAGCATTTTGGGAGGCCTACATGGGCAGATCACCTGAGGTCAGGAGTTTGAGACCAGCCTGGCCAACATGGTGAAACTCTGTCTCTACTAAAAACAAAAATTAACTGGGCATCATGGCGGGCACCTGTAATCCCAGCTACTTAGGAGGCTGAGGTAGGAAAATCGCTTGAACCCAGGAGGCGGAGATCGCAGTGACCCAAAGTCGCACCATTGCACACCAGCCAGTGTGACAGAACAAGACTCTATCTCAAAAAAAAAAAAAAAAAAAAGGCCTTCCACATCATCGTGGAAGCTTTTCTCTCTTATCTTTCTCGTTCTCCTTTTTTTCTTTTTTTTTTTTTTTTGTTTTTTTTTTGTTTTTTTGATATGGAGTTTCGCTCTTGTTACCCAGGCTGGAGTGCAATGGCGCGATCTCGGCTCACCGCAACCTCCGCCTCCTGGGTTCAAGCAATTCTCCTGCCTCAGCCTCCTGAGTAGCTGGGATTACAGGCACGCACCACCATGCCCAGCTAATTTTTTATATTTTTAGTAGAGACGGGGTTTCACCATGTTGACCAGGTTGGTCTCGATCTCTCAACCTCGTGATCCACCCGCCTCGGCCTCCCAAAGTGCTGGGATTACAGGCTTGAGCCACCGCGCCCGGCCCTTTTTTTCTTTTCTCTGCCTAAATAAATCACTCTCTGTAAAGCAAAAACAAACAAAACAAAACAAAAAACAGAAAATCATAAGAGGCCAGGCACAGTGGCTCATACCTGTAATCCTGGTGCTTTGGGAGGCTGAGGCAGGCAGGTCACTTGAGGTCAAGAGTTCAAGACCAGCCTGGCCAACATGGAGAAACTCCATCTCTACTAAAAATACAAATTGAGCCGGGGATTGGTGGCGCACGCCTGTAATCCCAGCTACTTGGGAGGCTGTGACAGGACAATCGCTTGAACCCAGGAGACAGAGATTGCAGTGACCTGAAAACGCACCACTGCACTCCAGCCTAGGTGACAGGACGAGACTCCATCTCAAATTTAAAAAAAGAAAATCATAAAAGACCAGGCTAAGTGGTTCATGCCTGTAATCCCAGCACTTTGGGAGGCTGAGGCAGGAAGATCACTCGAGATCAGGAGTTTGAGACCAGCCTGGCCAAGCCTGGCTAACATGATGAAACCCCATCTCTACTGAAAATACAAAATGAGTCAGGCATGGTGGCACATGCCTGTAATCCCAGCTACTTGGGAGGCTGAGGAAGGAGAATTGCTTGAACCTGGGAGGTGGAGGTTTTTGAGACTCCGTCTCAAAAAAAAAAAAAAAGAAAAGAAAAAAAAGTAGAAGTAGGTTGGGTGCAGTGGCTCACACCTATAATTCTAATACTTTGGAAGTCCAACGTAGGCAGATTGCTTCAGCTCAGGAGTTCAAGACAGCCTAGGCAGCGTGGCAAAACCCCTTCTCTACAAAAAATACAAAAAATTAGCCAGGTGCGGTGGCTCACACCTGTAGTCCCAGCTACTTGGGGGGTTGAGGCAGGAGGATCACTTGAATCTGGGAGGTTGAGGCTGCAGTGAGCCAAGATAGTGCCATGGCACTCTAGCCTAGATGACAAAGTGAGACCCTGTCTAAAAAACAAATTATAAAAAGAGAAAATATGTTTACTGTTCATTAAGTGGAAGTGGATCATCTTGTAGCTCTTCATCTTCATCATCTTCACATTGAGGAGGTTGAGGAGGAAGAGGTAAGGGGCTGTCTCTGCAGTAGCAAAGGTGGAGGAGGTGGAAGGGAGGGCAGGAGAGGCAGGCATTCTTGGTGTAACTTTGTGGAAACACATTGTAATTCCATCTGACTTTTTTGCTTTTTCATGTCTCTAAACATATTTCTATACGATGCCAATCCCGTTTTCTTGCCTCAGTCCCAGTGCCCGTGTCATAGACAGGTCCACGTCATAAAAAGTCAAAGCGGGTGTCAATGGCGGGAGCCCTTCTGCAGGAGTGCCTGCCTGCTGCCGGTGTGTTTCCCAGCAGTGCTCCATGGTCTGGCGCCGGTTCGGAAGCACTTATCCCCACCGAGTCAGTTCCCATCAATTCCTCTGGTGTGGTGTCAGGTAGCTCTGGGGCTTCTCCAAGATCCATGTTGTGAAATCCTCCACCCCTCACCCCTACCTGACTTTTTTTTTTTTTTTTGCCGTATTGCAGTTGATCTCGTGATTTACTTGATTGGCACCATTGTACATCCTGTGAAGTCAGGCACGACCGCTAGACGCAGTTTTCTTCATCAGGAACTTATTATTTGGGGCTTGACAGCTTCCATGGCTTTTTCTGTAGCAATGATGGCTTCTTCAGTGGTGGAACCCTTGCACAGACCACATCGACACCTTGCTGTTGAACTTATAGGTTCTGGGTGGCAAGAGGCATTGTCCATTATCAGAAGAACATTTTTTTGTTGTTGTTGAAACAGAGTCTTGCTCTGTTGCCCAAGCAGATGGTGCAGTGGTGCAATCTCAGCTCACTGCAACCTCCGCCTCCTGAGTTCAAGTGATTCTCATGCCTCAGCCTCCCAAGTAGCTGGGATTACAGGTGTGCACCACCACACCTGGCTACTTTCTGTATTTTTAGTAGAGATAGAGTTTGCCATCCTGGCCAGGCTGGTCTCAAACTCTTGTCCTCAAGTGATCCACCCACCTTGGCCTCCCAAAGTGCTGGGATTACAGGGGTGAGCCACTGTACCCAGACTGGATTCACGTGTTTTAAAACAGCCAGTCGGCCGGGCGCGGTGGCTCAAGTCTGTAATCCCAGCACTTTGGGAGGCCGAGGCGGGTGGATCACGAGGTCAAGAGATCGAGACCATCCTGGTCAACATGGTGAAACCCCGTCTCTACTAAAAAATACTAAAAATTGGCCGGGCGCGGTGGCTCAAGCTTGTAATCCCAGCACTTTGGGAGGCCGAGGCGGGTGGATCACAAGGTCGAGAGATCAAGACCATCCTGGTCAACTTGGTGAAACCCCGTCTCTACTAAAAATACAAAAAATTAGCTGGGCATGGTGGCGTGTGCCTGTAATCCCAGCTACTCAGGAGGCTGAGGCAGGAGAATTGCCTGAGCCCAGGAGGCGGAGGTTGCGGTGAGCCGAGATCGCGCCATTGCACTCCAGCCTGGGTAACAAGAGCGAAACTCCGTCTCAAAAAAAAAAAAAAAAAAAAAAAATACTAAAAATTAGCTGGGCGTGGTGGCGCGTGCCTGTAATCCCAGCTACTCAGGAGGCTGAGGCAGGAGAATTGCCTGAACCCAGGAGGCGGAGGTTGCGGTGAGCCGAGATCGCGCCATTGCACTCCAGCCTGGGCAACAAGAGCGAAACTCCGTCTCAAAAAAAAAAAAAAAAAAAAAAAAAAAAAAACAGCCAGCCGCTGCAGACCTGTTGAGTAAATGCATGACCTTCCTCTGCTCACTTCCAGCATCACTAGTGGCACTTTGCATAGGTCCCATGGTATTAATAAGGTTTACAGTATTATATTAAACACGGTGAAAAATAAGTAAGAACCTTGAGAAGTCACTCCATACTGGGATATGCAGTTTACTAGAGAGACAAACTGCTCACACGGAGGTGATTAGTGTCACATGATTGTTTGTTTGTTTGTTTTTTGAGATGGAGTTTTGCTCTTTTCGTCCAGGCTGGAGTGCAATGGCATGACCTTGGTTCACTGCAACCTCTGCCTCCTGGGCACTAGGGATTCTCCTGCCTCAGCCTTCTTAGTAGCTGGGATTACAGGTGCCCACCACCATACCCAGCTAATTTTTATATTTTTAGTAGAGATGGGGTTTCTCCCTGTGCTGGCCAAGCTGTTCTGGAACTCCTGACCTCAGGTGATGCACGCCACTCAGCCTCCCAAACTGCTGGGATTGCAGGTGTGAGCCACCGCGCCCGGTGTGTCACATGGTGTTTTAAGCAGGTACCGGAAACGCTTGAGCTCACCCTAATAGCAGCAGGAAGTTCAGATGGCTGTGAGATGCCCACAGTGGTGTGGTTCGGACTGCAGTTCCTTGTGTGCAGTTATTTACTAATGCACCTTGGCGTGCGTTGCTGTTCCGCTGGACGGCAGCTAACGTGTTTGTGTACACACATTTTGATGACTTTTAAAAATCGATTTGTGTATATTTTGTGGTAGTACATGATAAAATTAGTATATCTATTTTATGCTTTCATGACAGTTTAACTTTTTCTTATTTTTTTCAATATTTTTAGGCTATGTAGTTTAAGAACTTTTCCAAATTGTCACAAACCTCCAAAAAAATTTTCCAATGTATGTATTGAAAATAATTCTCATATAAATAGTTCCTTGCAGTTAAAACCCATGTTGTTCAAGGGTCAACTATAGTTGAAAATGAGTATAATTTCTAGCATTAATAAATAAAACTGTTTAGTGACGCTTTAAAATATTTATTTTTAAAAATTAAAATAATTTCTTTCTTTTTTAAATTTCTCAGCCCTCACTACTCCTACTTTAAAATGTTTCTAGTGTAGGTGGGACACAGCAGCTTACACTTGTAATCCCAGCACTTTGGGGGGCTGAGGCAGGAGAATCCCTTGAACTCAGCAGTTTGAGATCAGCCTGGGCAACGGGGAGACTGAGGCAGGAGGATCACCAGAGCATGGGAGGTCAAGGTTGCAGTGAGCCAATATCACAACAGTGCACTCCAGCCTGGGTAACAGTGAGACCCAATCTCAAAAAAAAAAAAAAAATAAATAGGAAATAAGTAAATAAAATAAAATCTAATCTAAATACCACAGTGAGTTAATACCCACTAACAAGGCCGGTGGCTCAAGCCTGTAATCCTAGCACTTTGGGAGGCCAAAGCGGGTGGATCACTCGAGGTCAGGTGCTCAAGACCAGCCTGACTGACATGGTAAAGTCTCTACTAAAAAGACAAAAACAGTCAGGCATGGTGGGGGCCACCTGTAATCCCAGCTAGTCGGGAGGTGAGGCAGAATTGCTTGAACTCGGGAGGTGGAGGTTGCAGTGAGCAGAGATCGAGCCACTGTCCTCCAGCCTGGACAACAGAGTGAGACTCCATCTCAAAAACAAAAACAAAACACCACTATCATTGATTTCAAAAACCTGCCTGAACCAGCTTTTCTGTAGCAGTTAGAAATTTTACATTATTCCTTTTCCCTTGAACTGTTTCCAGTCCACTTCCCCACAGAATTTTATATGAATATAATATATTTTTTGTGCTTGAATGCATTTGAAACCTGTAACAACAAAATAGTCATATAAACTATATGATGTAGTATATACTAGATAAGGTGGGTTCATATAAACTAAAAATAATAAAATTTGCTTGGGTCTCAAGGCTCTTAAGTGTTCAGAAGGCTTTTAATTAAGATACTGTTTTAATTATTGGTATACACATTCTAAAACAATACAAGATACCATAAAATTCAGTAATTACTAAGTAAAATGTAAAATATTCTTGGGAATGCTTCTTCTACTGAGACTTTTGGGGCCTCCCCCAAGTCCATTCACAAGAGCCTGGCCCCCACAGGCATGACCCAACAGGATGGAGCAACTTCTTTTGGGAGCATGCTGTGTGCTCTGAACTCCTTTCCAATTATGTGCCAATGGTCACCTGGTGACTTCCCCTCAAGAATGAGTTTTATTTTTGTATTTATTTATTTTATTTCATTTTATTTTTTAAATTTAATTTTATTTATTCATTTATTTTTTTGAGATGGAGTCTTGCTCTGTCGCCCAGGCTGGAGTGCCATGGCATGATCTCAACTCACTACAACTTCAGCCTCCCAGGTTTAAGCAATTCTGCTGTTTCACCTGTCTCTACTAAAAATACAAAAATGAGCTGGGCATGGTGATGTGCACCTGTCACCATGCCCAGCTCATTTTTGTATTTTTAGTAGAGGCAGGGTTACCATGTTGGTAGGGCTGATCTCGAACTCCTGACCTCATGATCTGCCTGCCTTGGCCTCCCAAAGTGCTGGGATTACAGAGGTGAGCCACTGCACCCAGCCTCAATTTATCGTTTTGAGACGAAGTTTTGCTCTTGTTGTCCAGGCTGGAGTGCAGTGGCATGATCTTGGCTCACTACAATCTCCACCTCCCAGGTTCAAGCAGTTCTCCTGCCTCAGCCTCCCAAGTAGTGTTACAAGCATGCGCCAAGACCCCTGGCTAATTTTGTATTTTTAGTAGAGACACGGTTTCACCGTGTTAGTCAGGCTGGTCTCAAACTCCTGACCTCAGGTGATCCGCCTCCCTTGGCCTCCCGAAGTGTTGGGATTACAGGTGTGAGCCACTGCACTCAGCCTATTTATTTATTTTGAGATGATGTCTCACTCTTTTGCCCAGGCTGGAATGCAGTGGCACAATCTTGGCTCACTGCAACCTCTGCCTCTCAGGTACAAGCAATTCTCCTGCCTCAGCCTCCCAAGTAGCTGGGTTTACAGGCACACGCCACGATGCCTGGCTCATTTTTGTATTTTTTTTAGTGGAGGCTGGGTTTTGCCATGTTGTCCAAGCTGGTCTCAAACTCCTGACCTCAAGCGATCTGCCCTCCTCAGCTTCCTAAAGTGCTGGGATGACAGGTGTGAGCCACCACAGCTGGCCAAGAATGATTTTAAATCATCCATCAGCTGATAATTGAATGAGCTTCTCCAACTTGGTGGAAGCAGAGAGCTGGCATTGGCCTTGCCAAGGGGCCTGAAACCCAGTTAGCAGAGCCATCACTCTCAGTCCCAGGAGGGTTAGATCAAAGACTTCACTGAGATGGCTTACATAACATTCCATATCCCTGATAGCACTCTACTTACTAGAACCTAGTATGTTCAGAGGGTAGGAAACCAACAGGTAAGTCTTCTTTTTTAAATTTTTGCTTAATACTTTTGCCAATGTGGTATTTTTTGTTTTGTTTTTGTTTTGTTTTTGAGACAGGGTCTCACTGTGTCACCCGGGCTGGAGTGCAGTGGCACCATCAGGCTCACTGCAGCCTTGACCTCCTAGGCTCAGGTGGTCCTTCCACCTCAGCTTCCCAAGTAGCTGGGACTGCAGGCACCCATCACCACAAACTCTAATATTTTATTTTTTGTAGAGGTTGTTTTGCCATATTGCCCAGGCTGGTCTCCAATTCCTAGGCTCAAGCGATCTACCTGCCTTGGCCTCCCAAAGTGCTTGGGTTACAGGTATGAGCCACTGTGTCCAGGTGCTAATGTAATATTTTTAAAGTAAAATGTTTTTGCCAGGCAAAGTAGTGTGGCCTGTAAGCCCAATTATTTGGGAAGCTGAGGTAAGGGAATTGCTTGTGTTGAAGGCCAGGCTAGGCAACATAGCTAGACTTTGTCTAACTGGAAAATAAATAGGCTGGGTGTGGTGTTGCTCAGTAGACCAGGCTGGTTGCCGGATGCAAGGCAGTGAGCATCTACCTGTTTTTGCTTTGGAAGGTTGATGGGAGTCCTGCTGGTGGTGGTCAAGCTGTACTCTAGGCCTCTCCTTTTGGTGTCCTTCTCCCGGGAGCTGTGGGCTCTGGAGGGCGGGCCAGGGGCCCGGCATCTAAGAGTGGTTTGGTCCATGTTAGTCTGAGAGGAATGAGGAGCAGGTGGCTGCTGTGAAGCCCCGAGGCAGACATACAGCAGGACCTGTGCCTGAGGCAGGGCGATGAATGCCTCCAGAGAGGGTCTGAGCCTGGGTGTCGGGGACCGGGTGAGCACCATGGGACCCGCACTGTGTTTCAGGCATGAAGAGCTCGACCGTCTGGCCCGGGAGAAGGATGCGGTGCTGGCAGCGGTGAAGGGAGCCCACATGGAGCAGCTGCGGGAGCTGCAGGCCAGGGTTCTGGAGCTGCAGGCCCACTGCGAGACCCTGGAGGCGCAGCTCCGCAGGGCAGAGTGGAGGCAGGCAGACGCTGCCAAGGAGAAGGACGCTGCCATCGACCAGTGAGTGTGTGCTCGGCTCAACCCAGAGGGCGAAGCAGGGGCCGCCGTGGCGGTGCTGACCTGGGCAGGCCCGCTAGGTGCCAGACCACAGGAAGTGGGCCAGGCAGCAGGCAGGGAGAAGTTCTGTAGCTCTTTGGTCACTTTTCTTAACCACTCTTTTTTTTTTTTTTTAAATTGTGTAGTTTCTATGTACATACTCATTCATCTGTTTATAGTAAGAGAAGCATAACCTAAAGTTTGCCATCTTAACCATTTATTGGTGTACAGGTCGGTGGCAGTGGCATTGAGCACATTCACAGTGTTGTGCAACCGTCACCACTGTCACCTGCAGAACTTTCCGTCTTCCTAAACTGAAGCTCTGACCCATTACACACCAGCTTCCCACCCCGCCAGCTCTCTCCTGCCCCACCAGCTCCCCCAACCCCCACCAGTTTCCCACACCCCCACCAGCTCCCCCCTGCCTCCACCAGCTCCCCCACTCCCCTGCCAGACCCCCCGCACCTGCTAGCTCCCCCACACCCCCACCAGCTCCCCTCACACCCCACCAGAACCCCTCCCCACCAGCCCCCGGCCACCTCCGTTCTGCTTGCTGCATCTATGGATTCAACCAGGCTGGGGACCTCCTGTGAGTTAGAATCATGCAGTATTTGTCCTTTTAGGACTTGCTTATTTCACTTGGCATTATGTCCTCAAAGATCGTCCACATTTTAACGCGTGTCAGAATTTCATTCCTTTTCTTTGAATTTTTAAATTGTAAAATACACACAACATGAAATTGAGTACCTTAACCATTTCTTCTTTTCTTTTCTTTATTTTTTATCTTGACCATTTTCAAATGTACAGTTCAGTGGCATTAAGTCTGAATTTTTTTCCTTTTTAAGGCTGAGTCATATTCCCTTGTCTGGATGAAACACATTTTGTTTATCCATCCGTCCGTTGATAGACGTGTGGGTTGTTCCCATCTTTTGTTTCTTATGAATAATACTGCCATGATCCTCAGTTACAAATATCTCTTTGAGACTGTGCTTCCAGTTCTTCGTGCACAGACACAGAGTGGAATTAATGAGTCATATAATTCTGTGCTTAGCTTTTGATGAGCCGCATTTCTACCTCCAGTGGCTGCACCACATCCCTACCAACAGCCCAAGCTGTACTCCATACGCCTCCTTTTGGTGTCCTCTGGGGAGCCGTGGGCTCTGGAGGGTGGGCCAGGGGCCTGGCATCTAAGAGTGGCTTGGTTCATGTTAGCCTGTGAGGAATGAGGAGCAGGTGGCTGCTGCGAAGCCTCGAGGCAGACGTACAGCAGGGCCTGTGCCCGAGGCAGGGCCATGAATGCCTCCAGAGAGGCATTAATATTTTTAAATAATATTTTTAAAATTAAAGTACTCATTCAGTTCAGTTACTCATTCATTAGTTCCTTTTTTTTTTTTTTTGAGACGTACCCTCACTGTCACCCAGGCTGGAGTGCAGGTGCGAGATCGCGCCAGGCTGGTGTGCAGCCTCCACCTCCCGGATTCAAGCGATCCTCCTGCCTCAGCCTCCCGAGTAGCTGGGATTACAGGTGCCCGCTACCACGCCCAGCTAATTTTTGTATTTTTGGTAGAGATGGGGTTTCACGATGTTGGCCATGCTGGTCTCAAACTCCTGACCTCAGGTGATCTGCCCACCTTGGCCTCCCAAGTGCTGGGATTACAGGCGTGAGCCACAGTACCTGGCCACTAGTTTCTTTTTAAACCCAGTTTCTTTTCTAGTGCCTAAGCCAGGCCGGGGCATGTGCCGGGGCATATGGGCAGCCCTGTTCCACCTGCCTGATGTGCAGGTGAGATGCGTACAAGCGACGCCATTGCAGCGACAGTGAAGTGTTGGCACTGAGTTCCGGACCCCTGACTCCCACTCAACACGCGATCCGTGGAGAGGCTATTCACTGATGGCACGCAAGACAAATAAGTCATTTGCTAGTATTTACCACACTTAGCCACTGGCTTTTTCTCTTTGTTTAGGAAAATTTCTGTTGCTTTTTTACGGAGAATTTTCTTTCTTTTTTTGAGACAGGGTCTTACTCTGTTGCCTAGGCTGGAATACAGTGGTGCAGTTATGGCTCGCAGCAGCCTTGACCTCACGGGCTCAAGTGATCCTCCCACCTCGCCCTCCCCAGTAGCTGGGACTACAGGCACACGCCACCATGCCCAGCTAGGTTTTGTGTTTTTCATAGAAATGGGGTTTCTCCGTGTTTTGTAAACTGGTCTCACACTCCTGGACTCAAGTGATCCCCCCACATTGGTCCCTCAAAGTGCTGAGATGACAGATGTCAGCCACTGCCAGCAGAGAATTCTCTGCCAAATTGTATTTTGGTTTAAGGGGGAAATGGCTCTTGGAAGTACACCGGGAAGTCAAAGGCTTATTCAGGTCATTTCCTAGACTCAGCATGCTGTTCTGTTGTTTCATCAGTCAGATTCAAGCAGAGTGGTTAAAGCCGCCACGCGTGGGAGGCCCCTGCAGCCTCTGCGGTCGGCGTGTGGGGTGAGAGGGGCTGCAGGTGCTTCCATGTGCTGGGTAGTGTGGCCGAGGGGACCGGGCCTCAGCGCTGCTGTGCGCCTGGCCTTGGCCTCCCCTCGAAGTCTCAAGCTGAATGTTGTTCTTGAGTGTCTTTTCATTTTCTGTCCATAAATACTCTATGGTTGTTAAGAATTATTACTATGCATACACAGTATTATTTTGGCAGTAAGAAACAGACTTCTACATTCTAAAGCTTGTATCTTTTCCCTTTTACTTCTGGGGATCTCAGTTATCATTCTGATCCCATGATCCTAAGTATGAGGTAGCATTAAATGATGACCTCGGCTGGGCACAGTGGCTCACACCTATAATCCTGGCACTTTGGGAGGCCGAGGCAAGAGGATCACTTGAGTCTGGGCAACAAATGTCTACCCCCCAAAAAAGTAGACAGTTATGGTGGCACTTACCCATACTTCTAGCTACTCAGGAGGCAGAGGAAGACCCTGTCTCTAAAAAATTAGTATTTTTAAAATTAAAAAATTAGAAATAAATAAATGAAAGCCTTATTTATTTCAGTTCCTTTTTTTCTTTTTAAAAAAATCTTATTTATTTTTTTAGTTTTATTTTTTGAGATGGAGTTTCCCTCTTGTGGCCCAGGCTGGAGTGCAGTGGCGCGATCTCAGCTCACACAACCTCTGCCTCCCAGAGTCAAGCAGTTCTCCTGCCTCAGCCTCCTGAGTAGCTGGGATTATAGGCATGTGCCATAACTTCCGGCTAATTTTGTATTTTTTTAAAGGGGTCACGCTTCCTGGCCACACCCCTCCCGGAGCCCCAGCAGGGACATGCAGGGGCATGCCCCAATTTGTATTTCTAAAAATTTTATCAGAGATGGGGTTTCTCCATGTTGATCAGACTGGCCTCCAACTCCCAACCTCAGGTGATCCGCCCACCTTGGCCTCCCAAAGTGCTGGGATTACAGGCATGAGCCACCACTCCTGGCCTTTATTATTATTGTTATTTTTAAAAATAAAGTAGAGATGGAGCCTCCCCATGTTGCCCAGGACGGTCTCAAACTCCTGGACGTAAGTGATCCTCTCATCTCAGCCTCCTAAAGTGCTGGGATTATCGGCATGAGCCACCACTCCAGGCCAGCTTTGTAGTTCTTAATAGCTTTTTCAGCAGTTTTGTGCTGGTTTGGAGTTTGGAACTACAGAGAAAACCTGTAGGATTAACGTGAAAGCATTTTTTTCTTTGTTTTTTTTGAGACAGGATCTCACTCTGTCATCCAGGCTAGAGTGCAGTGGCATGACCTCGCTTCCCTGCAGCCTATGCTTGGTGGGTTCGGGTGACCCTCCCACCTCAGCCTCCTAGGTAGCTGGGGCTGCAAGTGTATGCCACAACACCCAGAGAATGTTTTTTCTTTTTTTTTTTTCTGAGAAGGAGTCTCACACTGTTGCCCAGGCTATCGTGCAGTGGCACGATCTCGGCTCACTGCAATCTCTGCCTCCTGGGTTGAAGCAGTTCTCCTGTCTCAGGCTCCTAAGTAGCTGGGACTACAGGCTTGCACCGCCATGCCCAGCTAATTTTTTTGTATTTTTGGTAGGGACAGGGTTTCACTGTGTTGGCTAGAATGATCTCAATCTCCTGACCTCATGATCCACCTGCCTCGGTCTCCCAAAGTGCTGGGATTATAGGCGTAAGCCACCGCACCCGGCCAGTTTTTGTATTTTTAATAGAGACAGGGTTTTGCCATGTTGTTCAGGCTGGTCTCGAACTCCTGGACCTCAAGCAGTCTGCCTGCCTCAGCCTCCCAAAGTGCTGGGATTACAGGCATGAGCCACCATGCCTGGCCTTTTTTATTTTAACCATCCCATTACGCAGAAGAAAGAGAAGGCATTGTGTTCTGTTGCCCGGGCTGGAGTGCAGCAGTGCGACCATGGCTCACTGCAGCTTCGACCTCCTGGGCTCAAGTGATCCTCCCACCTTGGCCTCTCACAAAAAGCATTTATGCTCTTGTGGTGCGCAGTACGTTCCTGTTGGTGGTTGTGGTGTCCTCTGTCCCTGCAGTGAGAACTCAGTGGCCGTGCCCACTGATGTACACCTGAGACTGTGTGTCAGAGTAGACCGGTCAGGAGGCCCCAGGCAGAGTCACATCACTGTCCTGATGCTGGGAGTAGGGCCGGCCCTCATCATTAGGTGGCTCACCTGCTTCCCAGAGCACCAGAGGCCATTGGCGAGTCTGTTTCTTCAGTACCCATCCATAGCGCGGAAGGAGCCCACGTCAGCCCAAATTGCCAGAGAGGGCTGGGAAGGCTGATGCCTTTGATGGTGTCTCTTTTTAACCGTCCTAAAATATTTGTCCAAAACTGTTGGAAGAGTGGCTTTTTTTTCCATCCTGTGTAATACCAGACTTGAGATGCATCACTCATGCTGGGTTTGACTTACCCCTCATGATGAGGGGTGGCCTCTGTGGGTACAGCCAGCTCACCCTCTGCTTCTCACTGTCCGTCATTGGGAAGTTCATCAGCTCAGGAGCATCTGAAGAGCGTTGTGTGTGATGTTACAGTTGCTCCTGCGAGCCACCTACCCCATCTCTTAGGGAAAGAGGGTCACAGCCATGCAAGTGGGCAGGTGTCGTCTTGCCGAGATTAGCACTGTGGCTGCCCGAGTTAACAGCTCTAAATATTGTCCTGAACATTTTCCTGGGAAATTTATTCAATTTGGGGTAATTCTCCCAGAGACATCCTGCTGTTAAGGTAATTTAATGGGTTCTATAGAAGCTTATTTTACTATGCAATTTGAAAGTGTATTGCATGTCTCCACACGTGGCAGGGATATGAGGGTGAGTTCATCAGAGGTGGCACTACCTCAAGACTGGGTTCTCTGGGCATGGGAGGCATATCATGCCTCACCTTCCCCCCCCAGGAACCTGGCACATGGCCTGGTGTGCTGCAGGAGCTTAGTCGGAATCTGGGTTGGTAGGGTGCATGCATGGAAGTAGCTCGGTGGACGAATGCTTGCTTCTTCCTGGGTGGAACCATCTCCTTCGTCTAGGCCAGGAAGTTCCAGCTCCAGTGTGGATTTCCTTTGAGAGCTGTGTGTGTATGTGTGTGTTTGCTGGGGAGTGCCGTGTAGGAGACAACCTGAGTGAGTGAGTGAGAACCACATCCACATACCTTCCCATCTGTGTTTAGACTTCGCGAAGAGGCATCAGCTGTAAAATCTGCCTGGGATGCTCAGATTGCTCAACTGTCTAAGGAGATGGTCTCCAAAGACCTTCAGATTCAGATGCTGCAGGAAGAAGAGATGAAGCTCAAGGCACAGGTGGCCCGATTCCAGCAGGACGTTGAAAGGTAACTGTTCCCAGGCAGATATTTTTATTGAGTGTCTCCTTTGGGCAGGTGCTCTTGTAGGTACTAAGGATTCAGAACTGAACAGATCCAATCCCTGGCCTCACATTTTCCTGAGGGAGAAAGACAGTGAACAAGACAGTTAGAATGTCTGCTCACACGAGGGGTGGTGTGAGAAAGTGTGCAGAAGGGCCTGCCTGCTGGAGGGAGCGTGACCAGAGGCCTCAGAAGGATGGTGCTTCTCAGTCTGCAGTGAGAGCCACCAAAGAGCTCCTGCTGTTTTATCCCGCACTAAGAATCTCCTCCTGCCAATCGCGGTGGCTCATGCTTGTAATCCCAGGACTTAGGGAGGCAGAAGCAGGAGGATCCTTGAACCCAGGCGTGGGAGACCAGCCTGGTTAACATTGCGAGACCCCATCTCTGCACAAAGGAAAACAGAACAAAGGCTCTTCTTGTTCTGTCACTTCCGATTGTGAATGTCTCAAGGTTATTTCTTACCCGTCAGGATGAACACTTACCTGCACAAAGATAGCATTCTGTTTCCCATGTATATTAAAGTCAACTTTATTGAAGAATACGTAAAATAAAACTCATCCATTTTAACTATCCACTTGATTTTAGTGAATGCCGTGTGTGAATTTTGATGCATGTGTATGCTGTATCATATGGTTTGGTTCTCTGTCCCCACCCAAATCTAATCTTAAATTGTAATCCCCATGTGTCAAGGGAGGGCCCTGGTGAGAGGCGATTAGATCATGGGGGCAGTTTCCCTGTGCTGTTCTTATGATAGTCTGTGAGCTCTGATGGTTTCAAAGTGTTTTGTGGGCCAGGTGCAATGGCTCACGCCTGTAGTCCCAGCTACTCCAGAGGCCAAGGTGGGAGAATCGCTTGAACTCAGGAGGCAGAGGTTTCAGGGAGCCAAGATCACGCCACTGCACTCCAGCCTGGGCAACAGAGCAAGACTCCATCTCAAAAAAAAATGAATAAACAAATAAAATATAAAATATAAATAAATAAATGAAATATTTGGTGGGGCGGGTGCAGTGGCTCATGCCTGTAATGTCAGAACTTTGGGAGGCCAAGGCTGGCAGATGACCTGAGGTCAGGAATTAGAGACCAGCCTGCCCAACATGATGAAACCTCATCTCTACTAAAAATACAAAAATTATCTGGGTGTGGTGTCACATCCCTGTAATCCCAGCTATTCGCAAGGCTGAGGCAGGAAAATCGCTTGAACCTGGGAAGTGGAGATTGCAGTGAGCCAAGCTCATGCCACTGCACTGTAGCCTAGGCAACAGAAGGAGATTCTGTCTCAAAAATAAACACATATGGAGTGGAGCAGCTGCTGGAGATGCCTGCCGCGTTGGTCTGAGGAGCAGTCAGTGACGTGGTGGAGCAGGCAGGGATCACTTACACCTGAGACGGACTACAGAGGGGAAGTCCGAGTCAAATGCAGGAGACTGTCGGTGGTACCCGAGGCGTTCTCAGCAGCAGCAGGGACCTGTGGTGGATTTCCAAGCTGAACTGAGGCAGGCATTCTTAGCTGAGACACCAAGAGGTGATCAGAGCCATATTGGAATCGAGAGGAATCTGATTCCGAGCAAAAACTAGCCTTCCCTAGGTCTTCAGAGGCATCAGATTTGGTGGGACAGCAATAGTGACTGGGGAAGCGTGGCAAGATGCTGCAGCACGTGGACTGTGGAATGAGATGCATCCTGCAGGGTGGCCCGATCTTCACTGACACCTTGAAGGCTTTGACAGGCAGCTGAGTCTGATCCTCTGTGATTGTGATGAGTTCAGGAAGATGAAGCTGAAGAATGCCAAGCACCTAGAGTGTGAAGAAGAGCGGGTTTGGGGTCTGATGTTGCGGCCTGGGGAGAACTCGGCATCCATGGCTGTGGCGGGGGTGGCATTGCTCGGGCACCACGTGCTGGAGCTTCAGGAGGCCCTGCGGTCGGTAGGGCAGCAGGCGGAGGGGCACCGGCCGGGTCAGCAGGCCCTGGCCCAGGGGTTGGCGGGCCGTCCCAGCAGGTGACGGCTACGCAGCTTCAGGAGGCCCTGCGGTCGGTAGGGCAGCAGGCGGAGGGGCACCGGCCGGGTCAGCAGGCCCTGGCCCAGGGGTTGGCGGGCCGTCCCAGCAGGTGACGGCTACGCAGCTTCAGGAGGCCCTGCGGTCGGTAGGGCAGCAGGCGGAGGGGCACCGGCCGGGTCAGCAGGCCCTGGCCCAGGGGTTGGCGGGCCGTCCCAGCAGGTGACGGCTACGCAGCTTCAGGAGGCCCTGCGGTCGGTAGGGCAGCAGGCGGAGGGGCACCGGCTGGGTCAGCAGGCCCTGGCCCAGGGGTTGGCGGGCCGTCCCAGCAGGTGACGGCTACGCAGCTTCAGGAGGCCCTGCGGTCGGTAGGGCAGCAGGCGGAGGGGCACCGGCTGGGTCAGCAGGCCCTGGCCCAGGGGTTGGCGGGCCGTCCCAGCAGGTGACGGCTACGCAGCGAAGAGGCACTGTGGCAACTGCTGCTGTTGCTGTTATGCCAGCGCTGCTGGAGCCCCAGCACAGTGCCCACGACGGCTGGGGACTCTGCCCCCACCTGTTGGCAGAGCAACCCCACCTCCAGGCGTTACGGCCCCTCTGCCTGGTGTGAGACCACCCATGGTCCACCGACTGGGCTTCCCCTTGCTGGAGGGGTGCCAGTAGGCATGCATCATGTGAGGCTGGTCATGAACTCTTGACCGGGTGACCCACCTGCCTTGACCTCCTAAGATGCTAGGATTATAGGCATGCACCAGTAAGCCCAGCCCTTTTTTTTTTTTTTTTTTTTTTTTCTTTTTGAGACGGAGTCTTGCTCTGTTGCCCAGGCTGGAGTGCATTGTCTCGATCTCGGCTCACCGCAACCTCCGCCTCCCAGGTTCAAGCAGTTCTCCTGCCTCAGCCTCCCAAGTAGCTGGGATTACAGGTGCCGCCACCATGCCCGGCTGATTTTTGTATTTTTAGTAGAGACGAGATGTCACCTTGTTGCCCGGCTGGTCTTTAGCTCCTGGCCTCAGGTGATCCACCCGCCTCGGCCTCCTAAAGTGCTGGGATTACAGGTGTGGGCCACCAAGCCCGGCCCTCCTGGCAATATTCTTTCCCCAGCCTTCTCTGTCTGGTGTTAACCGGGCTGCTCGAGCTTCTTCCGCTTCATTTTCCCTCTTTCTGCTGTAACTTGTGTCTTTTTTTCTTTCTCTTAAGCTGCGATCTGGCTCTGTCACTCAGGCTGGAGTGCAGTGGCACAATCAAGACCTACTGCAGTCTCAACATCCCAGGCTCAACTGATAATCCCGCCTCAGCCTCCCAGGTAGCTGGGACTATAGGCACACGCCACCACACCTAACTAATTTTTCTGTTTTTGTAGAGACGGTTTTACCATGTTGCCCAGGCAGGTCTCAAGTTCCTAGACCCAAGTCATCCTTCCGCTTTGACCTCCCAGAGTATTAGGGTTATAGGCATGAGCCGCCACGCCCTGCCGCTTTGTCTTTAGAGTGCATTCCTGCGGGTGGCCTGTGGTTGAATCTTACTTCTTTTATCTAGTGTAATACTCTACCTGTTCCTCAGGGGATTAGATAGTTTAATTTAACGCCATTCTTGATATATTTGTATATTAGGGCCTCAATCTCCAACTCACTGTCTGTCTGTCTGTCTCCCTCCTTTTCTTTCTTTCTCTTTCTTCCTTCCTTTCTTTTTTTCAGGATCTCGCTCTGTCACCCAGCTGGAGTGCAGTGGTGCGATCTCTGCTTACCTGCAGCCTTAACCTCCCACCTCAGCCTCCTGAGTGGCTGGAACTGCAGGCATGTGCTACCACGCCTGGCTAACTTTTTTGTATTTTTGGTAGAGACGGGGTTTTGCTATGTTGTCCAGGCTGGTCTCAAACTCCTGGACTCAGCTGATGGGTCCACCCCGGCCTCCCAAAAGTGCTGGCATTACAGGCATGAGCCACTGCTCCGGGCCTGTTGGCTTTCTATTTTCCTCATCCGTTCTTTGTTTCTTTTTTTCTACCTTTAAAAAAGTCTATTGAATATTTTTTAGAATTTCATTTTGTTTCCAGTTTTCTTGTTATATAAACCTCTTTGCTTACGTGTTTCATGGTCATTCTGAGGTTTATAAGATGCACAGTCTATGTTTAATGTTTACCACTCTGCGTATAATGTAAAACCTTCCATTCAGTTTCTGCTTCTTTTTACCATGGTTTTCTTATATTTTACATAAAGGGAGTCATTATATTTGCTTTTATCAGACTACCCTTTGTGAAAATAAAAATACGGCTGGGCACGGTGGCTCACGCCTGTAATCACAGCACTTTGGGAGGCCGAGGCGGGCAGATGGCAAGGTCAGGAGTTTGAGACCAGCCTGGCCAATATAGTAAAACCCTGTCTGTACTAAAAATACGAAAAAATTTGCCAGGTGTGGTGATGCATGCCTGTAATCCCAGCTGCTTGGGAGGCTGAGGCAGGAGCCAAGATGGTGCCACTGCACTCCAGCCTGGGCAGCAGAGCAAGACTGGATCTCAGAAAAAACAGGAAAAGTACCAATGCCGAAAGAAGCATGTTGTAATCGTGTTCTCAGCTCTTGCTTCCAGCGTTCCCTTTTTTGTTAAATACTTTAATTAACTGAAATAAAACAGTATGTAATATATCTTTAAGAAAGCACACTTAAATTTTCCTGTTACTTGTGTATGTAGAAAACCCTCATAACGTGAACTAATGCAGAAGAAAAGAAACATTGTGATAACATTCTGAAGGTTTTTGGTTTTGTTTTGAGATGGAGTCTTTTTTTTTTTTTTTTTTTTTTTTTTTGAGACGGAGTTTCGCTCTTGCTACCCAGGCTGGAGTGCAATGGCACGATCTCGGCTCACCGCAACCTCCGCCTCCTGGGTTCAGGCAATTCTCCTGCCTCAGCCTCCTGAGTAGCTGGGATTACAGGCACGCACCACCATGCCCAGCTATTTTTTTTGTATTTTTAGTAGAGACGGGGTTTCACCATGTTGACCAGGATGGTCTCGATCTCTTGACCTTGTGATCCACCCGCCTCGGCCTCCCAAAGTGCTGGGATTACAGGCTTGAGCCACCGCGCCCAGCTGAGACGGAGTCTTGCTCTGTTGCCCAGGCTGAAGTGCAGTGGCGTGATCTCAGCTCACTCCAACCTCTACCTCCTGGGTTTAAGCAATTCTCCCGTGTCGGCCTCTAGAGTAGCTGGGATTATAGGCGCTTGCCACCATGCCCGGCTAATTTTTGTATTTTTAATAGAGACGGGGTTTCACCATGTTGGTGAGGCTGGTCTTGAACTCCTGACCTTAGGTGATCCGTCCACCTGGGCCTCCCAAAATGCTGGGATTACAGGCGTGAGCTACTACGTCTAGCTTACGTTCTCACCTCTTGATTCCAATGTTCCTTCTTTGTTAAACTCTTCCATTCATTGTAAGAAAACAGCACATATTGCAATATTTAGACTTTTTCATACATTTAATTTCACTCCTCATTATGCGCGTGGTCACCTTTGAATCTCTGAACTTATTTATAGTAATACCTGCTTAAGTGTGTTTTTCTGCTAATTGCATCCTATCTATCTCTGAGTCTGTTTCCATTGGCTGATTTTTCTACTGGAGAAAGCCACGTTTTCTTCTGCTTGCTTGCCCATCTGGTAAGTTTTCACTGGATGTCACGCACTGTGAATGTGACGTTGGCAAGTGTCTGGATTGAGTGGGTTGCTTTTTGTTTGGCTGCAGCTAAGGATTTACATGGCAGCGTGATCCTTTTGAGACTTGTTGAAAATCTGTGCGAGGGCAGGTCCGGCAGGTCCGGCAGGTCCAGAGAAGCCTTTTCACCAGGGCTGACTGAGCATCATGGCTCCCGGGTCTCCGCTGCGTGCCCTAGAGAGAGAGAGCACCAAGGATTCCCCAAGGCCGGCTGCCCTGATGAACACATGGAGCTCCCTGCTAGCTGCTCCTTCCCACGAGCTGCTCCCGGCCCAGCCCATGTTGGCTTCTCCTGTGTATTTGCATGTGGCTGTCAGCTGCAGCTTCTAGGGGACCCCTGCACAGAACCCAGGATCCCCTCCTCTCTGCCTCTGTGCCTCATGAAGCCCACTTCAGCCTCTTCAGCTTCTCCAAACTCCAACCTTTGTCTCCTCCACACAGCATGACCCCCATGCTCTGCGTGGTTTGCCCTCCCTGCAGGGATCCAGAAGGCCCCGGGGAGAGCAGCTGGGCGGTGCGTGGCCTCATCTCGTGCGGGCCTTCTCTGAGGGGCCTCGGCCCTGCACCGCTCATGGGCTCATCGTCCACTCAGCGAAAGCTGTGCCCCATTTTCTGCCCAGTGTCCCAGTTGTTTAAAGTGGGAAGATAGGCCTGGTGACAGCTGATCTATCATGTTAAATATTTATTTATTTTTGCAGTTACAGAGATTTAAAAATGTATGTGTGGCTGGGAATGGGGACTCACACATGTAATCCCAGCACTTTGGGAGGCCAAGGCAGGCAGATGGCTTGAGCCCAGGAGTTCAAGACTAGCCTGGGCAACACGGTGAAACCCTGTTTGTACAACAAATACAATTAGCTGGGCGTGGTGGTGCATACCTGGAGTCCCAGCTACTCAAGAGGCTGAGGCAGGAGGACCACTTAAGCCCAGGAGGTGGAGGCTATACTGAGCCAAGATTATACCACTGCACTCCAGCCTGAGTGACAGAGCAAGACTGTTTCAAATAAATAAATTAAATTAAACAAAAACAAGAACACATTGTGTATAAATTACCACAAACTTAGCAGTTTAGCTGCTTTAAAGACCCATTTATTATCTCAGGTTCTGGGGTCAGGGCCTGGGCAGGGCTCAGCTGTTCCCCACTCAGGGTATCTCCAGGCTGGAATCCATGGTGGCCGGGCCTGCCTCTCCCTGGAGGCGCAGGGCCCCTTCCAGACTCACCCAGCTGTTGGCAGAATTCAGTCCCTGCAGCTGTGGGGCTGAGGCCTCCTTTTCCTCGCTGGCTGACAGCCAGGGTCACTCTTCATCCTAGAGGTGTCCTCAAGTCCTGGCCATGCAGCCCCTCTGATGACCCTCTCACAATGAGGTGGCTCCAACTTCAAGGCAAGCAGGGGGGTCTCCCTCCAGGCTCGTGCAGAGCCATGCCCCCATCTCTGTGTCACTGCCTGGGACAGGAGGGACCTCTCCCCAGACACAGTGTCACCCACAGCCTGAAATTCTGCCCCCAACGTGTGGCCCCATGGCCTTCTGTCACAGAGTTGCTGGTGAAAGCCTAGTCCCAGTCCAATTCTTGTCTTTTTTCCCAGTAGACTTTTCTTTCATCCTTGATACGTAATGTTTCCCCTTACTGTGTGCGAGTGGGGTCTCTGGAGCTCTCTGAAGGCTGGTCTGCTCAGTCCTGGTGGACCTGCCCCTCTGTATCCTGGGTGGCTTCCTCCCTCCATTCTGATCTAAGATGCTGGTCTTCTGGAGGAACCCCCAGGCTCCGGCGTTCCCACCCCTATGCCCCTTTGCACTCACTTGAGGGGTTCTCCCAGCCCTGCCCGCCTATGGCTGGGTCCACCCTGCTCTGTATTTGCTCCAGGGGCTCTCCCAGCCCTGCCTGCCCGTGGCTGGGTCCACCCTGCTCTGCTTATTTTGCTTTAATAGCTCGGTTCCTTTGTGCATAACTGCGTTTATAATCTAAGGTCATTGCTTTCCTCCATCTCTTCCTGCATGCTGGTTCTTCTGTTTTTGTGCATCTCACTCCCGTCTGTGGTGTTGGGTTTTCGCCGGCATCTGGCCATCCATGGTGTCTGCTTATCTCTGTGCTGGGCATCCCCATGTGCCCGTCCACAGGAGCCCAGGAGCACATCAGGCCAGCGCAGGCCACAGGAGAGCAGGAGGGACAGCAGCAGCTCTGCCTTTCCCATCATGCCTCTGCTTTTCCCGTGGAAGGGACCTCAGGAAGCATTAATGCTGGGCGGTTGGATTTGTCCTTAGGTACAAGCAGCAGCTGTCCCTGGCAGTCGAAAGGGAGCGGAGCCTGGAACGTGATCAGGTGCAGCTGGGCCTGGACTGGCAGCGCCGCTGTGACGATGTTGAAAGGGACCAGATCCAAAAATCGGAGGCCCTGATTCAGGGTCTGACCACGGCAAAAAGTCAGGTGTGTGGGGCCGCCAGGGCCTGGGGCCTTCTCAGCACCTCTGCCGCAGTGGGGCTGGGCAGGACAGGTCTGGCTCTCACCAAATTCTTCTTTAAGTTTGAAAACACTCAACTTCACTGAGCAGTTTGCTGTACAGCAAGAGAAGTTACAGTAATAACAATGCACCCCTGCCTGTCCACCCACCTTGACGGTGCTTTCTTGCAAAGCTGTTTCTGTAGCTGACCAGCTGCATGGTTAGATGATCCCCACTGGCCTGTAAGGTCAGCCTGGGGTGTGGGCTGGGCCAGAGGGTTTGGCCGCCTGGCCACAGCGGGGAGTGTGCTCCGAGCATCTCCCTCCTGTGTGTGCCATCGGAGCCTCGGCAGGCGCTGCCCCGTCATCCACAGAGGGACTGAGTCCCAGTGTTTTCCCAGGTTGCTGCCAAGCTGCAGGAGACAGAGCGGGTACTACGGGAGCAGGAGGCGGTGCTGAAGGCCGTGACCCTGGAGCGAGACCAGGCCGTGCAGGCCCTGAGGATGCAGGGGCTCCCCAGACCAGAGGCACAGGTGAGTGCCTAGCTGGCTCTTTGCAGCATTGCTCAACAGCAGCAGTAGGAAAATAGAACTGGAGCCCCAAATCCTGCCAAGGCTGGAGTTAAGTCTTTCTGTTGTGTTCTTTTTAAATGACCAGTTGCACAGACAAGGGTGAGTTAGAAGCTTTAGAGAGTTAAGGTGAACTCGGGCTTCTTCATCTTTCACATTTGAAAGCCCTAAAAATCCCAAATGTTGTTACATATCAGATGTTCATGTGAGTTTGTTCTTATGTTATTGTCTCAGGACTATCACAGTGGGTCATTTCATGCTAGGAATCTGTCATCGCTGCTTCTGGTTTTGGTGAGCAGTGACATTAGTGGTTAGTGGTTACGTTGTCAGCCTGTGCCATGGTCTGCTCTTAGGCTGTGACACCCTCCACTCATTTCATCTCTGAGGTTGGCACCACATCCACTGAGACAGGGACACTGAGGAACTCGCCTGAGCTGTCACAGCTCGTCAGAGCAGAGCGGGGTCCACAGGCAGAGGGGAGCGGGCTGGCGGGGCTGCAGGAGGCTGGGGGAGAGCGCAGAGGGCCCAGCACGGGAGGACTGCCCAGGCCTGCAGATGGCTTTTCTTCTTCCGTGGGGCACACGCAGTGGAGCACACAGATGAGCGCAGCCGACACTTGAGTGTGCCCGTGCACGCTGCGTCCATCAGGACCACCCAGTGAGAGTCCCTGCGCCCTGCGGGTCCCCCTCCCCGCACAAAGTGGCCGCTGGTGTGCATTCTCTCCCCCGCGATCTGCCTCTCTGCCTGTGGCTTGGCTTATGGAGGGCCTGGGTGTGCAGGGGTTCGTCCCAGAGCATCAGGGCAGCTAAGTGTACTTAGGAGTCAGATCCTAACTGGTATGAAGAATGTTCCTAGCTTGTCCTTCATTCATGTAACTTTTATTTATTTATTTGTTTATTTATTTATTTATTTATTTATTTTGAGACAGGGTCTCACTTTGTCACCCAGGCTGGAGTACAGTTGTGTAATCTCAGCTCACTGCAACCTCATCCTCCCCAAAGGCTCAAGAAATCCTCCCACTTCAGCCCCCCAGTAGCTGGGACCACAGGTGTGCGTCTTCACGCCTGGCTAATTTTGTTTTTTTTTCTAATTGAGACAGAGTTTCACTCTTGTTGCCCAGGCTGGAGTGCAATGGTTTGATGATCTCAGCTCACTGCAACCTCCGCCTTCCGGGTTCGGATGATTTTCCTGCCTCAGCCTCCTGAGTACCTGGGATTACAGGCATGCACCACCATGCCCAGCTAAATTTTGTGTTTTTAGTAGAGACGGGGTTTCTCCATGTTGGTCAGGCTGGTCTCGAACTCCTGACCTCAGGTGATCTGCCCACCTCAACCTCCCAAAGTGCTGGGATTACAGGGATGAGTCACCACACCCAGTCTTATTTATGTACTTTTATTCAATGTCCATTCTCCTAAGAGTATACAGAACCAGGCCATGGAACTGTTTTTTTCTCCCAGGAATGCTCTGTTCTGAGCACACACAGTACACACGCTGTGACCCTGCCTTGGCCAGACGTGAAGCTGGTTAAGATGCAGGAAGCTGATCTGAGGTTCGTGTGGACATTTGGCAGCAGCCACAGCCTTTTGGAGGGTGGGGTTTAAGCAGCCGGAGGTCCTGCAGGCCTCCAAGCAGGAGGGAGCAGGAAGACTCGTGAGAGAGGCCAAGGTGGATGCCAGTGGCCCCACCACATCATCGCTGGCCACAGAACCACCTTCTTCGTTTTTAAAATGTGAAATAACGCTTCCTGTCCTGCTGGCTGCCTCACTGTGCAGCGCTGATTTTGGGAAATGCAGTGTGCTGCCAGATGTGTGGAATGAGGCCTCAGATTCCAGACTTCATCACTGAAGCTGGGCCTCTTCAGTGGTACAGAGAAACGAGAGGCAGGGATGCTGTCCTGAGGGTACAGGTCTTCGTGCACCCGACGCACTGGGTGAGAGCCAAGCAAAGGCAGGGTCCGTTTCCTCTCCACTAGTGTCTCCTACTAGCTCAACAGTTCCCCAGAACCTGGCACCGACTGTGGGACGCTGGCAGCTCAGCTGCGTCCTCCAGAAAGATGAGTGTGTGAACACAGAAAATGCGAGACGCGGCTCAGTCAATTCAGAGTTTATTTTGCCAAGGTTGAGGATGGACCCGTGACACAGCTCAGGAGGTCCTGACGGCGTGTGCCCAAGGCGGTCAGTGTAAGAGTTAAAGACCGAGGAAGGGAACCCAAAGTGCAGCACAGGCAGGTCTCTAGTTAAAGCTGAGAGGCGCTCCGGGCCCATGTGGTCAGCAGCACTTTCTATTACAGACTAAGAGCATACGTTGGCTTCAGGGTGAGGGGGCTTCTCAGAAGCTTGGGATGTTTGTGTGGAGAAGTTTATGGCCGGGTTGGATCTCTGGGAGAAGGGGGTTTATCTTGGGGCAGACATCTTTCCAGCCAGAGGGTGGTTTATCTTGGGGCTAGCATGTCTCTGGTCGGGAGGAGTTTGAATGTTTCTGGTTGGAGATGTTATTTGTGGTTTATGGTCATGCTGACTTTAGCCATTAGGCTGATGCCCTTTGGATTTATTTAAGCAGTTTTTAAATTAAGGTGAACTTTAGAATGAGGGGCTTGTCCCAGATGGCGATGCTCCTGCTCCATCAATCCAGACCCTCTGGTTATGAAAAGAGGAAGGATGGCGTGTTTTTTCTGGCTGCTTCCTGCTGACGAGGGGATGGAGAGTTTTCTGGTCTCAGGTTGACCCTAAGAGAATGCCGTCTGTAGATGTTTTGGGGCAGTTGTTTGTGAAATGGCCATGACCCTGTGAGTTAAAAATCTTTGAAAAAGGTTAATCAGGCAGGGTAAGAACTTTAGGCCCAGCCATATTATTAGGAGAGGGCCTGGGACTGGAGTGACCTATGCTATGATTTTGTTTTCAAACCAAGAGTCTGTGTGGTCGTTTTGGTACTGCCTTAGCTTTAGCCTTTTCTTTAAGGTTTTTAGCAGCGTTTTTTACTAGGCCGGATTGGGTGATCTAGAAGCAACGTTTCTTACCTAATGAGAGGCAAAGGCACATGTTGGAAAGGCCCAGGCGTTATTTTCTGTTAGTAACCGTTATTCCTGCTAGGAGGGTAGTAATTAAGCAAAATGCTGTAGTAATTAAGATTTTCTGTCCCTCAGTTCACCCTGAGGGCGCTGCAGTATGTGGACCTGCTGCAAACCGTAGAGTGAGTGAAGCAGTTCCCACAAGGATGGCGTAGTGAGTAATTTCCACTAAGAAGTTTTAATATTTGGCTTAAAAGGAGAGGTAGAAATGACAAAAGTGTTTGGTGAGGGAGGGGCGAGACTGCATCAAATGCGTAGTTCTCACTTAGTTACTTACCCTTTATGAGTCTCAGCTTAAGATTTCCTGGCTGGGCGCGGTGGCTCAAGCCTGTAATCCCAGCCCTTTGGGAGGCCAAGGTGGGTGGATCACAAGGTCAGGAGATCGAGACCATCCTGGTCAACATGGTGAAACCCCGTCTCTACTAAAAACACAAAAAATTAGCTGGGCATGGTGGCGAGTGCCAGTAATCCCAGCTACTCGGGAGGCTGAGGCAGGAGAATTCCCTGAACCCAGGAGGCGGAGGTTGCGGTGAGCCGAGATTGTGCCATTGCACTCCAGCCTGGGTAACAAGAGCGAAACTCCGTCTCAAAAAAAAAAAAAAAAAAGAGTTTTGAACATTTATCCTCAATTCTGATGTTACAGTCTCCAGGGTTATCAGAAATCTGCATTCACGAGCACCTGTTAGAGCTTTATAGCTGATTATAAAACAACCTTTCATAGGACCAGAACAAGACAATTGTTTATAGATGATAAAAAGTTAGCCGGGCGCGGTGGCTCAAGCCTGTGATCCCAGCACTTTGGGAGGCCGAGGCGGGTGGATCACGAGGTCAAGAGATCGAGACCATCCTGGTCAACATGGTGAAACCCCATCTCTACTAAAAATACTAAAAATTAGCTGGGCATGGTGGCACGTGCCTGTAATCCCAGGTACTCAGGAGGCTGAGGCAGGAGAATTGCCTGAACCCAGGAGGCGGAGGTTGCGGTGAGCCGAGATCGCGCCATTGCACTCCAGCCTGGGTAACAAGAGCGAAACTCCGTCTCAAAAAAAAAAAAAAAAAGTTTTAGGGTAGCCATAGTTAAATACACAATTGATGAGGATATTTATTGTGGCACACAATCAATAATTTTAACTTAACAATTATAGTTATTACTGATAATGTACACTAAGATATATCAGAATTATAGGAGTTTCCCATAACTTTGGGACACATAACAATAACATATTTATGCAGTATAGCCCAAAGAAAAACAAACACCATTTTATATCTGGCAATGCTTCCTGTATGATTTTGTACCAAATAAGCCAAATTTTACCTTTGTACTAGTGTGCTATTAAACTTAATTTCTTTTTTTTTTTTTTTTTTTTTTGAGACGGAGTTTCACCCTTGTTACCCAGGCTGGAGTGCAATGGCGCGATCTTGGCTCACTGCAACCTCCGCCTCCTGGGCTCAGGCAATTCTCCTGCCTCAGCCTCCTGAGTAGCTGGGATTACAGGCACGCACCACCATGCCCAGCTAATTTTTTGTATTTTTAGTAGAGACGGGGTTTCACCTTGTTGACCAGGATGGTCTCGATCTCTCGACCTCGTGATCCACCCGCCTCGGCCTCCCAAAGTGCTGGGATTACAGGCTTGAGCCACCGCGCCCGGCCTTAAACTTAATTTCTAATAAAAGCTCGATGCATTTACCCAATTTTAATGTCTGACCATAAGGTAAAATTTTTTATAGACTCTTTTTAACCCTTTATAATTTTTGTTAAAGAACAGGTTAATGCTTTAAGAAAAACACATTGTGCTTTTATTTTAATGCTCAACTTAGAGAAAAACTGGATGATACCCCCTTCAACTTTAGCCAATATGTTTACACAGAGAATTTCCTTTACAATTAATGTTTCAAA